GGGAAAGAAGGTAATGGAGCCCGTCACACTACCGGCTCTGTTGTCCTCCTGGCCACTGTGCCTGCTCACAAAGAGACCAGCCTGATCTTGCTCCAGGGAGCTGCACCAGGCCATGCGTAGTCTTCACCCTCCTAGCCCATGGCCAGCCCTCTCAGCCAGTGGACCAAGCTGACGCAAAACTGGGGCGTTTCCAGAGCAGACCGAGAGAGGGGTGTGCCCACAGAAACCAGGAACCAGAAGGACCAAGACGACTTCCTCCTATCCTTCCCACAACTGGACCCCTGGGAGTGTCTCCGCCCAGTGGGACAGAGAGAGGTCCCGCTGAACCCAATACTTTGCAAAGAATACTCAGGGAAGCTGGGCTGAGGAAAGGCCTGGTATCCCTTCTGTTGCCTCTTGCTGTCTTGCAGAAGCTGTGGGGCAAGAGCCTGGAAAGCCATGGGCCAGGCAGTATAGGCACTGGGTTTTGGTGACCAAGGCTGGTAGTGGACTTAGAGTGGGTGGGGTGGGCTTGGCCTTACGGGAAGCCCGACAGCAATGGTAAGAGGCAGGGACTGCCAGAGGGAGGATAAGCCCTAGGACTGCTTGAGGGAACAACCAGATAACAGCGTGGCAGGAACACACTACCTGGGCTTATCCACCTGTCCAACTCAGCGCGAGCTAAGCTAACTGGCTTATGCCAGGCTTGGGATCTTTACGTCCTAGGAAGAAGTGCCCCCAATATCCCTTCTAAGCATGTTGTCCCTGAGTATCTCACGTAAAGCCTCCCATTTAGTAAAAAGACGCACCTGGCGTGGCCACAGTGGCTCATGACCGTAATCGCTCCGCAACATTTGGGAGGCGAGAGTGGGTGGATCCACTGAGGTTGGAGTTGAGACAAGCACTGGCCAACATAGAGTGAAACCCTGTCTCTACTAAAAATACAAAAAAAATTAGCAGGCATGGTGGTGGGCGCCGAATCCAGCCTACTCAACCAAAACAAAAAAAAAAAAGGCCCTTTAGGGGCTGCCAGCCCCCTCTCCCTTTCCCCACAGCCCTTATGCAGGGCTGGGCCCCTTGTGTGTCCCCCCAGCCAGCATCTCAGTGTTGAGGCTTCCTTGGCATCTCCTCCCCAACCCTCCACAGTGCTCTGCATGAGCCCCCATCTTACCCGAACCCTAGGCCAACTGCAGCCTGCATCCCCCAGCCAGGGTGGGCAACTGTCTACCCTGCCAAGGATGCTGAGCTAGGGAAGGTGACCCCCAGAGGGTCCAGGAACTCAGGGTTTCTGTCTCAGATGCCATGCCCCAGGGCAGAGCCTGCAGTAGTCAGAAAAGGCGGTGCAGCTACATCATTGTCCTCATGGGCATAGGGGGAAGGGCCATTGTGGTGGGCACTGCTGACCTCTGTCCCCTTGGCTCCCTACAGCGCAGAGCCCCACCGCCGCGGACCCCCTGCAGCAGGCCTACGCCGGAGTGCAGCAGTATGCAGGTCGTTAGTATCCACGCGTCCCCACGGCTCCTTCCCCAACTCCGTTTATCTCTCCACGCCTGTGACACCAGTGCCCCCTCAGACCTGGGGCCAGCACTGCATGGGGTGGGGAGAGAGAGTGGAAAGAGGGAGGGCTGTGCTGCCAGAGATCCTCCAGGCTGCCTTCTTGTCAGCGGGCCACCTAGAGTGCCCCTGCAGTGGGGATGGGCAGAACTTCAGGCGAGTGGCCAGGCCAGGTGGAAGTTTTGCCCTTGCTGGGCAGTTACTTGTCTTTGAGGCCAGATTTCCCTTCCCCAAGGAGTTTCCAGGGCCGGTTTGCCCAGGAGCACCAGGTTTGACAACAGCACCACAGGTGAGGCTGGACCTGGGTGTGCCCACCACGGGTCACAGTCACTGGCCCGGGAAGCACAGATGCCTGATTTGAGAGAAGGAGAGCCTCTAGAAGAGATGCTGTTTCCCCATCCCCTTCCTCACACACAGGCAGCAGGATGGGGTCCCAGCAGGTGTGACAGGGAGCAGAGGAAGAGAGGTGGGAAGGGATAGCCTTGAGTGAGCAGAGGGCCTGGGGTCACTGAGCACAAGCCAAGCTGTCAGCCAGGCTTCTCTCTTTCTCTCACCCCTGGACGACACAGCACCCCATCATCGTCCCTGCCTAGCCTGTGTCCTACTGCCTGACCTGATTAGGGTCTCTCTTCCCTGTGCTTAGAAGAGCCAGTGCTGTCTCCCATGAGTGCAGTGGGGCTGCCTGGCAAGGGGTGAGGGAACTGAGGTGAAGCTGGCCTGGCACATCTGGAGCCCAGAGGAGGTGCTGTCACCTCCTGGGTGCCCTGAGCTCTGACTTCAGGCTCTGCTGCTATGGGAGCCAAGCCAGGCAGAGGAGGGAGCTGGCCACTCCTGTCCTACCTCGGGCCCTTTCCAGTTGGGCAATCAGGTTTATCCAACTCAGTTCTCTGCTCCTGGGGACTACCCCCTGGCAGGCTTCCCAGAGGCCAAGTCCACACCTCAGGTGGCCGCCCACCTCCCACACAGGTGCCATTTGAGTGGGAGTGAGGGCCTGCCAGCAGGAGTCAGCTGTGGCTCAGAGAAGTGGGAAAGCCTTCCTGTGGATTCTAGGTGGCATGGGGTGATCTTGCCCAGGCCATTTTGGTGTTTTTAATTATCCATGATTGGGTGTTATGCACACATGTGGTTTACCCACTATTTCAAATTCAACTTGCCTCCCCTGAAACACACACAAACACGTATGTTCACATGTAATGCACACACACATGCACACACGTACACACATGCATGTATGCATGTAATGTATGCACACGTGCACTAACACCATGTACACACGTGCACACACACCCACACATACACATGTACACACACACACACCGACACACGTGCATGCACACTTGTAACATACACACACGTACAAACACATGCATGCATGTGTGCATGTAACGTACTCACACACACATACACCCTCCCACATGCATGTATGCATGTAATGTACACACACGTACACCCACACACATGCATGTACACATGTAATGTACACACACGCACACACATACACATACCCACATGTACATGCATGTATGCATGTAATGTACACACATGTGCACACATACGTACACACACTCACACACGCATTTCCACTCTTCACCTTGCAACTTCTCTGTTAGTCCGGGAACTGAAAGCTGGCTTTGTCCTAAGTGGCCGAGTGGCAGGGCGCTTTTTGGCTGATCTGCTTTTACTGCCTGCACTGAAATCTCTCTCTTTCTTCCTGCTTCCACTCTCTGCCTTGTCGCCGGCTCTTGCTTCTTGTCTTGGGCCTCCAGCAGCCGCCTACCCTGCTGCCTATGGTCAGATAAGCCAGGCCTTTCCTCAGCCGCCTCCAATGATCCCCCAGCAGCAGAGAGAAGGTGAGTCTGCAGGCCAGCTCCTGGGCCCCTCCCTACCCCAGTTGTCCCCAAAGAGGCTGCTCACCTGGGCCTTGGGCTGGGGTGTGTGTTGGAAAGGTGACCACGTTTGTGTGCTGTGTTGAGGTGGGCAAGGGAAGACAGCAAGGCTGTGAGGAGTGGCGCTCTCCAACTGAAGGGTAGAGGTCCACTTCTTGTGGGCAGCTCTGTACACCAGAGCGGTGTCCAGCCTAGGGCAGGGGCCTGAACAGAATGCCCTGAATGCTGGCAGGTCCCACACAAGGCGCCTTTCCTACTCCCCTCAATCATTGCTGCTGGCCTGACACAGAGCTCACATATTGAAACCTTGGTTTATGAGAACCGCTTCTGAATGGTTGGGTTTGTGCTTCTTCCTTGGCAAGCCCTTGAACCATCCCTTGAACAGAACCTAGCAGAGGTTAGGCCTGTGTGTGCCAGTGGAGGCCTTGTCCCTGACCCAGGGAGTTTCTGATCTTCCAGAGGAGATAGAGGCCCATCCTTGGGGGTTTTCACTGGAGGGCCCACCACTGTGTTCCCAGGGAGCATAGCTGGGAGGTGAGACTCCAACAACATGGTGGTTTGCAGAACCAGCTCTGATAGCTGCGCACATTGAGGAAAAGATGGTAACCAGGCTGAGAGGGTCAGGAAGGGAAGCCCCAGAGGAGGTGGGGTCCAAGAATCCCCCTCCTCTGGTGGGCAGGATTTGGCCAGTGGTGAGGGTGGGGAGAAGTAGGAGGGCTCATGGCTGAGGGGAATGGGAGAGGGAGATGAGTTCATTACCCACAGAAGCTGTGCCCTCTGAGTGACCAGGAGAAGCAGGTGGAGCTCCCAAGGCAGGACTGCGTGGGCAGGATGAGAAGAGATGACAATGCCCTAGTGCAGGCCTAGTGAAAGAAGGGGGTGATCCTGGAAAGCTGTGTCCAAAGGCCCTGGTGTGAACAGGGCAGGACAGCAAGATCTTTGGGTCAGTTGCCAGGGACCACAGAATGCCAGTCTGTGTCTTCCCGTCCCAGTGCCTAGGGATCCACATAAGCAGAAAGATAGGAGGCTGGATGAACAGGCCCACCCTCTGGGGCTCTGTGGGCCTGCACAGAGAGCTCAGCTTGAGGGGCGGGACACTAACAAGGTCCCGTCCTCTCCACCCCTGTGGAAACGGTCACTGGGTAGTGAGGCACCAAATCTGCCCCTGGCAGCCCCCTGTGGTCAGAGCGTTCCGGTGGCTTCCAAAAGCCTGACTCACAGCCCCTGCACACAGTGCCCTGGAGCCCTCCGACGTAGATTAGTCCTGGAAAGGGCCTCAAGCGTCTGCTGGTCCAACATCATTTGACAGGCCCCAGTGCCAGACAGGTCCCTCAGACCCCAAACAGGTGCCGCAGCCTGCCTGGCTGACAGCCTGGCCTTCAGAGAAAGCCCTTTTGGGTGGGACTCTGGCACCTCCGTCCCCTGTGACTCTGAACAAATCACTCTATCCTCTCAGCCTCAGTGTCCTCACAGCAAAGTGAGTAGAGCGGGGAGCGTTCTGTGGAGGGGTGTGAGGACCAAGCCGGCTGAGTCTGCCCCCAAACTCCATTCTGCAAGTGCCCGTGCACACCGCCCTTTCTTTACCAAGCTACCACCCCTTCCAAGGCTGTGCATGAGGCATACCGCCCCAGCTCACACCCGGCAGGCAACTTCTGAGGTCGGGGGCATCAGGGCTTCCCACGCCCAGGAGAGCCAAGTTACAGGACCCAGAGAGGTGCACAGGAAGGCCCAGTCTGTACCGTGCCGCACGCTGCTGCAGCTGAGGGACACGGGGCTACCACTGGTGAAGTGGGGGTATGGGTGGTCCCCTCATTGGGCTGCAACCCTGGGCCTACCCTGCCCTTGCCTTCCCCACAGTCCAAGCCTTCATCAGTCAGACCGGGGCCACAAGGGGTGGGATCCAGGAGTCCCCATGTCGACCGCTCCAGGTCCAGAACACAGAGCTGTGCCCACAGGCCCTGATATTTTTTCTCCCGCTGGTTTCAGGCCATTGTCAGCTCCCTGAATCACTCTGGCCTGTTGCCTCAGGGGTCTCTGAATCCTGCCCCACCCCTCACACAGCTACAGGTCAATGCCACCCTGCCCAACACACATGGCAGCCCCTACTGCAGGCCTTAAACTCAGGCTCCCATGGGCCGTCCTGCCCCTCTCCCACTCTACACTCTGCACCATCCTGTGCGTGTAGCTCTGAACTCCTCATTCCTTCTCTCCATCTCTGAGCAGCTGCAGTTCCTGCCCCACCATACCATGCTCCCTAGTCTAGGCCCTCTGTGGCCAATCCTGTCTCCAGCCTCTCCTTGGAGTGGTGGGATCTGCTGCCATTGTCCCTATTCTCCCAGGCCATGGTGCATGGGTTGAGCCACCCCAGGGAAGCAAGGGATGGGGAAGAGGAACACACCAACAGAGCCGCACAGCATGGGTGGGTGAGGGCATGGCACTGAGAGTGGTTTGTTAGGAAGGCTTCTGTGGGTCTGGAAGGATGAGCAGAGGTTGGCAGCACATAGAACTGGGGAGGCAGGTGGTCCAGGCAGGGGGAACAGCGGGAGCAAAAGTACAGTTGCTGCAGAGTCCAAGGTGAGCATGGGGCCAGGGAGAGACAGGGGCAAGGTGGGCTGGAGCCTGGCCAAAACCGTGTCCCACAAAGTTGTCCAAGTCATGGACAAGAAACAAGGCTGTTCCTCCAGCCCTGCCAAGAGTTGGCCTTTTTATATCATGGTCCCCTCCCCATGAGGAAAGTCATGGAAATATCAGGATATTCTGGTGGCAGGGGAGGACCCTTCTGCCACCTCCTCATCTTTGCGCTAAGCCTGAAAATGGACAGATGCCTGAATTCCCCAGAGGCTATCTGCCCCACAGATTGGACGAGGTTACCCTCAGGGATGGCTGCCGCAGTGGCTCTGCCAGGGCTGCAGGGTGGTCAGGGGTAGCTGCTTTCTGTCTCTGTAGCTCCGCTTCACTATTTCTCAGAAGGCTAGCCTGGACCAGATTGGTCTCTAAAGTCCTGCCAGCTCTACCATCTGCATGTTCTGTCATCTGTGAATGAGGGAGTGCAGACGGGCTTGGAGGTAGCTGGAGTTAGACAGTGTGTGGACTCACTGTCCAGGGGAAGGGACTGGAGCTGCTGCCCTGGCTTCTTTGTCAGGCCTGGGCTAGAGGGTCATCCCTGGGGCTCCACCACACACCGTGCACATGGGATTGAGCCTGTGGGCCCTGTCTGTGAAGTCTCCTTATCTCTAAGGAGAACAGATGTAACTTCCACATAAAGCAGCTTGCAGAACTTGAACTCAGAGCCAGGGCCCCAAGTCAGGGCAGGTGTCAGCCTGGGGTGGAGCAGTCAGGGCCTGGAAGAGTGAGGATGGGAGGAGGAAGGAAGGTGTGTGCGGGGTTGGAGGGAGCTGGGCAGGAGGACGCAAGAAGGAGCATGCCCCTGGGAGCAGCCAGTCTGGTTGGAGAGAAACACCTCCAGACATAAAGGACAAAGAGCCCCACCCCAGAAGATGGAGTGTGGATTCGGGCACGAGCAGGGAGAGGCCGGAGGTTCTTTCAGAGAGGGAGGGTATGGGGAGCTGGGGGCCATCAAGGGCACATTCACAGGGCATGAACCAGTGGGAAGACAGCATGGTTGGAGGGGACAGGGTGAGGGGAGGGCCACCAGAGCTCAGGGGTATCCAGCACCAGGAACCCCTGGAAGGGGGTGAGGGAGCACATTTGTGCCTGGTTCTGAATGCGCCGTCCCCTGGCAGGATGCCTGGGAGCCAGCAGTCCAGGGAGGGGAGGCCGGAGGGCTGGGTGGGCAGAGGGTGCAGGGCGAGCAGCAAGGAGGGAGGAGGCCAGTGGCTCCTTGGGCAGCTTTAGGGGTTGGGGACATTTTTGTTCTAGGCTGTGAACCTCGAGGGAGTAGAAATAGATGGAGAAAAGGAGGAGAGTGGAAGGTAGAGGAGCAGAAGAGAAGGCGCAGAGTCTCTACATCGAGTCTTTGCTCCAGAACTGGGTTATCTGGCAGCCTCACTGCTCCTGGAGAACAAGGACGGCTGGCTCTGGCTGCGAAAGCCATGCAGCAGCCCATGTCGGTGCCTTACAGCCTTCACTGTTCAGCTCACGCCTAGGTTTCCAGCAGCCTCTGCTCAGAACTTTGCTTCTTACACAACACTAGGTGCGGCTGGTTCCTTCCCATTCCACCACAGCTTGGATGCCATCATTGAAATGACCACAGGTCACTTTAAAAGATGAAATTATATGTGGCATATGCCATCTAAGACACATCTTGGAACGATTTCCATTTCAAAGAGTTAAAATTGAGTGTTTTGACTATTTCAAAAGAAACAGGTAAATAGTTATTGAGAATTTTAGAAAGCTAAAGCCCTGCTTAGTGTTCAGGGAGTCTGGGGTATTGAGATTTTTTGGTCACAAGAGGGAGAAAACTCATACTATGGAGACAGAGAGGCTGGGCTCATGTCCTGGCTCCAGGCCCCTCCCAGCTGTGTGTGTTTTGGCAGGTGACTTAACCTCTCTGGGCCTCACTTCCTCATCTGTGAAGTGGCAATGATGATAATCACATCACAGGGTTGCTGTAAGGATTAAGTGAGTTAGGTACATGTAAAGTGCTCAGAACAGCCTGACACATAGTTTGTGCTGCCGAAGTCACAGGGCTGTTACTGTGGTAACGAAATGAAGAACATTCATGTCATGAGGCTGGAGGGTTCCCTGGCTAATCATAGAGCCTCGGTTGCAGCCCTTCCTACGCACCTATACAGGAGGAGGCAGGATAAATCTTGGTTTCCTGGGTGTGAGGAACTGGGCAGGACAGTTGGGCCATGAGGGGCAGATGAGAAGGAGAGGCTGCAGGCCAGGGGGAGGATGGGCACCCAAGTCCTAGAGTCTGAGCTTGGCCTGTGAGAGGGGAAAGTGGGGTGTCTCCCCAGCACAGGACACAGCTGCCCCAGGGGATACCCTGGTCCCCCCCAGAGCAGGGACTGGGCAGGAGGGAGGCCTCCCGGATCTCCCCGGCCTTCCCTATCCTCAGCACCTGGTTTCCAGAGACACAGCAGTAGGTCGACTCCGCCCTGGAGACCTAGGGTTTCCAAGACTCTGCTACAGATCCATTTTATAGAAAAGGCAACCAAGGCACAGAGAGGTTCAGTGACTTGCCCAAGGGCAGAGCAGAGACCGGAGCTCAGACCTGGGGCTCAGCATCCCTGCCTCTTCTGGGGCTCCCTTGGATCTGGAATGAGACCCCCCCTCCTAACCTTGCCCCCACCCCTCCCTGCTGTGCTGCCTAACTCGCTCACCTCTCCTCTGTCTCTCTCTTCCCCCACCCCGCCATCCCTCCTCCCCCGCCCACCCCCTCCCCTCACCGCAGGGCCCGAGGGCTGTAACCTGTTCATCTACCATCTGCCCCAGGAGTTTGGGGACGCTGAGCTGATGCAGATGTTCCTCCCTTTCGGTAATGTCATCTCCTCGAAAGTGTTTGTGGATCGGGCGACTAACCAAAGTAAATGCTTTGGTGGGTAAAGATAACAAACCAATTAGCTTCACCTAGGACAGGGCGGTGCTCACACCAACCTACTGGTGTCCGACTGCTTTTAACCTGCTCCTTCACATTGCCCCCGCCCCAGCTGCTCCATGGCCCTTGCCAGCCTCATCTCACCCTTCTCTCTCCCACTACTCCTTTTGCTTCTTGGCTTTCCCTACCCACCCCACCTGGCTCCCCATCTCCCACTCCCAGTCCAAGAAATGGGTTTCCTCTTCCAGCCAAATTCCAACCCACTGAGAAGGGAAAGGGGCCGCTTTGAGCAGGGGTAGGAGGGGCAGCAGGCAGAGCCCAGCCACACCCATTCCCCCAGTAGCCCCTCTCCTCTCATGGTGAGAGTGGCCTGGCCTGAGCCCCGAGGCTAAAGCAGAGTGTGACACCTGGACAGGGCAATCACCTAGCCAGGCCCCTCTCCTGCCCGCCCCTTGGCCTCCTCTCTCCAGCTTTCTGTCCTGCCCCAACTCCTTCTCTGTCTACCCTGCTTTTTGCTCCCCTCCTGCCCTCCCCACTCACCTGCCTCAGGCCACCAGAGGTGGGTATTGTTGAGGAGTCAGGAAGAGGAGACTGGTCCCTGCCCTCAGGAAGCCTAAGCACTGAGCTTAGATGAAAATTATGTTTACAGCAGTGAAATCTGCGAGGCACCTAATAATGAAGCGACAAGAAAGGCAGATGGATATAAATACACAAAAAGAAAGGGAGGGAACTCCAGGTGGGGAGAATTGGATGAGGAAGGCATGGGGCTGGGGTGAGAGGAGCCAGAGGACAGTGAGAGCGAGACCAGGCACGGGGGTGCTCTGTCTGTGCTGGGGGGTTTCCACTACGCAGATGGGGATGCTTCGTGGGGTGTAGTAGGCAGTGGAAACGGTGGGAGATCCTTGAGCTGAGAGTAATAAAAATACAGTTTGCCGGAAATGTGCCCAGGGCATGCTGTTAGATGGGAGAGGGAAAACTTGGAAGCATCCAGAAGTATGGCTGTCAGATAAAATATAGGATGGCCAGTTAAATTTGAATTTCAGATAGACAAAGTATCCATTTTTAGTATAAGTATATACTTACAGTAAAAAAGTATTTATTGTTGATCTGAAGCTTAAATGTAACTGGCATCCCGTGTTTTTATTTGCTAAGTCTGGCAACCCTATCTAGGAAGCGTCAGACCTCCTCCTGGAATTTCATTTCACCCTCTCTCCTCCACTCCTCCTTGTTGCCCTCCGACCTCCTCATCCTTCTCCATCAGCCCTTCCTTCTGGGCCAGACCCTTTCATAAGTCATGAGGACTGAAGAGTCCAGTCCCCAGAGAGCCACATATGGAACCAGAGCCGAGTCTGCCAGAAACTCAGTATCTCCAGGGTGACCCCCAGATTCTGGGGCTGGGAGGAGAGAGTAGGAGGCTGTGTTGCCAGGGAACCCAGGTCACAGCTTGGGGGTGGTGGAGGGGAGAGGAGACAGGAGTGCAGCATCAGGAAGCGCAGGCTAAGGAGTTTCCACTCTGGAGTCCAAGTTTCTGGAATCATGAAAGGCTTGAGGATTCAGAACACGTTCCCCAAAGTAGTCAAGATCTTTGCACCATTGCCCCTTCCCCTCTGGAGCTGCCACAGGGAACTTGTGGTCTTTCAATGGCATGGAGTTGCCCCAGCAGCTCATTTCTCTCCGGGTGTGGAGAAACAAAGCAAAAGCAAAAGACAGGGTTGCGGGCCTCCACTCTTTGGTATTTCTCCTTAGGAATTACAATTATGTATGTAAAAACAACAAGCTGGAAATCAGTTGCATCTGCTCTTTAAGTAAGTCCCAAATGTTACATAAATGAGAAGAGCACTGCTGAGATCCCAGGAAGCTCTGGGCGCGCGCCTCTGCTGGAACAGGTTTAGTCTCCAGCCATAGCCAGACTTGGCTCATTTGCACTGTCCCGGGTGTGGGTGCAGCCCGGCTTTCCAAAGGCATTTCCTCGCAGTCTACTCTAAGCACTATCCTCTTCAAGCTGTTAGCCCACTTAAATTAGCCAGGACTACATTTTTTTCTTCCTGCTTTTTAAAGAAACATTCCTTGTATACCTCTAATCTAGCTCTCCTCTCTTGAACAAATTTCTGATGTCAAGCATACCAGCCCTGAGAAAAGGACAGACTCCTGAGCTGCTGGTCCAGCCCAGCTGTTCCTGGTTAAGCCACTTGGGTTCTCTCTCTCACCAGGCAGCTGAGCTTTCTGCCAATATCACAGAGGCCTTTAAAGTGAGACCTAGGCTGGGTGCAGTGGCTCATGCCTATAATCCCAGCACTTTGGGAGGCCGAGGCGGGCAGATCACTTGAGGACAGGAGTTCGAAACCAGCCTGGCCAACATGGTGAAACTCCATCTCTACTAAAAATACAAAAATTAGCTGGGCATGATGGCGGGTGCCTGAAGTCCCAGCTACTCGGGAGGTGGAGGCAGGAGAATTGCTTGAACTCATGAAGGGAGGTTACAGTGAGCCGAGATCACACCACTGCACTCCAACCTAGCAATGCAGCAATACTCCGTCTCAAAAATAAATAACAAATACATAAACAAAAATAAAATAAAGTGAGACCTAACTTCAGCATTCCCTCATGGGCAAGTCATTTAGCCCTGTGAGCCTCACTGGCTTCCTCTGTAAAAAGGGGATTTGAATCATTGCCCCAGGGATGCTGTTAGGGAGCTTACCCAGGGCAGACTCTCAGAAAGTGCTAGGTCCCCTTTGTTCTTAAAGTGCTATTTTTGCTGTGAAAGTGGCGCTATGTTAAAGAGAACTCCTCAAAGGCCACATTCACTCTTTATAAGCATACATGTAAATTTATGAGCAGAATCTTCCAGAGACCTTCATGAGGGCATGTCAAGCAGAAAAGTTCCTATGTTGGAAGGAGGGCTGGGGGGATACCATGGGGGGATTCTATCTGCGGGTCTTCCCACAGGGCCTGGGAGAAGAAACCTTCTGAGGGTAGGAAGAGGGCAGGAGAGGTAGCTCTGAAGAAGGAAGATGGTCCTAGAAGCATGAACTTGGGTGACAGTGCCCAGAGCTCTGCCACAGGGGCCTCCAGTCTGCAGGGGAGAGACCCTGCTCTGACTGCTAGCCAGTTAATAACAGTTCAAGGGAAGAAAAGTTCCCTGGACCCTGGACTCCTCCTCAACTCTTGGGCTTCCGGGGAGCTCTGAACTCTTCCCGGAAGGCTGGGCTTCTGCCCTCCTCCAGAACTTCCTCTCTGCTCCCCGCACACAGTGGTTCTGCCTGCCTCTACACCTGTGCCCTAGACAGCTCCTCCAGCCCTTTTTATCTTCTTTCCCCTCCCTTCTTTGAGCTGAGGTGGATGATAAGAGGAATGAGGGGCAGCATGTCCCCCATAGTCAGGCTACCTTGTCCTGGCAGGGACAGCTTTTGTCCAGCCACCTTCCTTATTCTGGGGAAAGCAGTATCAACACACAATTCACATATTTGAAAACTGCTCTGGTTTACTGAGGACTTGACTTTAGGGATTAGACATACAGGTCAGTGGAGGTGGGGACAGGCCAGGAGGGGCTGAGGGGGAGCTGGTGGAAACATGGCTGGAGGCGAATCTCCGACTATGGATCAGCTGAAATTCTCCCTATTTATTCTGGTATCTATATTTATACAGAGGTTGGTTTTGTTGCTCTGGGCCCAGCTGACCAATTGTTGTGCTTGTTCGGCTGCAGAGCAAACTTGAGCAAGGCAGGAAGGAGAGGAGAGAAAGTAAGAGACGATGGAGGCAGCATCTGGGGCAGAGGGAAAGAGGGAAAAAGAGCCACCAGGTAGGGAAAGTGAGGAAGGGCTCTCTTTCTTGGAGAGAAGTCCCAAGGCAGCCCCGAGGTACCACGAACAGTTAACTGAGAAGACGGCTTCTACTTCACTCCGGGGTGGCTGTGCATCTGTCTTATACCTAATGGCCATTTGGGGACCAGTACACAACGGGCACGTTCATGGGAAGGCCTCGGTATCTCGCCAAGCTTTCATATATTTTGCAGGATCTAAGTCCTTTTTACAGGAGAAAAGGCCTCTAAAGTCGAATAAATTCAAGGAAATACTAGATTAAACAAAACTATAAAAGTTAATTTACTACATCTCGGTGAGGGAGGGGACGTTATTTGTTGATATGCTGGACTGGCCCAGTGGGCCTGGCTACAAATCTCCTGACCACACAAGACCTTTCTCGAGGAGCACCTATTAGGGCCAGTTGGGGAAATGCTGATGTAAAATGTTGTCTGTATAAGGAGATGCATTCCGAGTTCCCCAAAGGTGACTTCTGACCTTTTGGGAACATGACCCGTGCCCATCTGGGACCTGCGCGGTTGGGCCTGGGAGCCGCAAGATTCTGCATCCCATGTGGGCACAGGAGCGAACGCGTGGGAAGCGCTTCTGCATGGAGGCCTGTGGCCTGATTTGCACTGATGGTCTTGTTACTTGTTGCGGACATGTCAGCTGGTGCGTGCTTAGTGCACAGCACAGGGCGTGGAGAAGAGAGGTGCCGACGGCGCCCTGGGCGAGGTGACGCCTAGGGCCCACCCGGAGCCTGGCGGGGCGGGCAGAGCCGGGAGTGGGGGCGGAGGGGCTGCGAGAGCTCAGTCTCTGGGCCTCCCCCGACGGCCGGGCACCTGCGCTGGCGAGGGGGGCGGCCGGGCCGGCGGTGAAGTTTCTCGGCGGCGCCTCCCTCCCGGCCCCTCGCACTCGTCTCTCTCCCCAGGCCGGCACCCTGTGCCCGCGCGCTGCCAGGCCCCCTCCTGTCAGGGAGGACAGTGTCCAATAAACTCCTCCACCCGCAGGTGTGTCCGCCCTCTCCCGCTAAGGCGAGGGCTGAGGTGCCGGGGCCGGCGGGGGTGGGGGGCGGGCGCCTCTTCGAGCGCCGCCCGGCCGCGGGCCCCACCTGGGGAGCGGGCGCCGGGCGAGTGGCGCGGCCAGAGACGAGGCGCAGGTCAGCGAGCCGGGGCCCCGCCAGCGCCTGCCCGGGGAGGAGCCTCGCACGCGTGCGCGGGCTGGAGGGGGGCGGACACCGGGGCGGGGCCGGGGGCGGGGACCGAGGGGAGGAGCCTCAGGCCCGCCCCGCCCCGCCCCCCTGTCCCCCACCCCTCCCCGCCGGCAGCGCCCCGGGCGGCCCCGTGGAAACCCAGGCCCTCGTCCCTCGTGTCTCGCCAGGCTTCGTGAGCTTCGACAACCCGGCCAGCGCGCAGACTGCCATCCAGGCCATGAACGGCTTCCAGATCGGCATGAAGAGGCTCAAGGTGCAGCTGAAGCGGCCCAAAGACGCCAATCGCCCGTACTGAGCGCCAGCGGGAGCGTCCCCCGGGGGAGACCAGGACTCGCACAGGTAACCGGGGGCGGCCGGGGCGCGGGGACGGGGGTTGGGAGGGAACCAGACGGACCCGCCGCCTTCTCCGGCCTCCGTGGGCCGGACCCTCACTGGTGCCTTGGACCCGCTGCGCCCGGCTCAACCTGCTCCTCGCCCTGCGCCTCGGGCCAGGCGCAGAGCTGCCGTCACCCCGGCAGAAATGGGCCTGGCCATCTGCCTGTGGCAGGGCCACCAGGGGCAGGAGTGAGGGAGCCACTCTGGGCGGGTGAGGCGAGGCCTGGGCCTGCGCCTCCGGGTCTACATTGGCAGTCCTGGTGGCCAGAGAACCCTGGGGTGAACAGGTGGCAAGCTCAGGCTGAGAGAGGTTGGGGGCAGAACAGGCTCTACCCAGGAGAGCTGCAGCCGCCCGCGGGGCCTGCTCCCTGACCCCCAGCTCTCTCCTCCCCAGTTCTTCCAGGAGGGCTGATAGTCTTTAGACACTTGACCCCTGCACCCCTCCCTTTCCCCATAGCTCAGTGAAGAGAGGAAGGGCAGGATCTTTCAAAAGGAACTTGACTGAGAAACAAAGCAGGATGGGATGACAGCTGAGGAAGGTGATGGTACAGCACTGAGATCCCGGGCCTGCCTGCCCCACGTGGGTCTTGATGAGTGGTAGTTGTTACCTTTTCTGCTGGGCTGGGTCCTGCCTAGGAGCTGAAGACGCAGTCAGCCACGCCTCTTCCAGCCAAAGTGTTCCCCTGAGCAAAGTGCTTCTTGCAGAAAGAATGGGGGGAGATACCCCAGGTAGAAAGAATGGGGGGAGATACCCCAGGACATCAAAAAGTCAACCTTCAGTCTGGTTACCCCCATTGCTGTGGCTCTTGCAGCCTCGGCTTCTTCACAGAGCAGAGGTGAAGGCTCCCTTCGGGCCATTCCAGCTCAGCACCCTGCTGCCCTCTGACCGCCCCTCCCCGCCCATGTTCCTCCATTTATTCAGCAGTATTGTGTGCCAGCTATTGTGTTAGGTACTTGGGATTCAGCAGTGAGCAAGACTGAGAAGGTGGAGACAGACAATAAACAATGACATGTGATCAAAGAATATGATCTAGTATGTCAAGATTGTTGGCTACAATTAAACCACATGGACAGTGTAGACCTCATTGAGCAAGTGAATTGGAGCATAGAAGGTGAGGGGAGCAGCCATGCCCCTGCCTCTGAGGGAACAGTCAGCATGGAGGCTGCAAGGTGGGGCTGCAAAGTGAGGTAGGAACAGCAGGAGACTGGGTTGCTGAGAGAGTGAGGAGGGCCACCTGGTGTGGGGCCTTGAAGGTCACTATGTGGACTTTGGTCTCTTCTCTGAATTGGGAGATGGAGAGAGCATTGGAGAGTTCTGAACAGAAGAGTGACGGGTAACTTGAATTTCAGTGGGGTCACCCTGGCTGTTATGTTGATAATAGCTTGTAGGGGGCCAAAGCATAGATCTACTGCACTGACCACTCAGTCCAGCATCACAGCAGTTGATGAGATGTGAAGGAATTAATTTCTAGATGTATTTTGAAAGAGGAGCCAAGGATGAGTCCCAGGCTTTTGGCCCAAGTCACTGGAAGAACAGAGAGATTGGGAGAAAGATCAGGCATGTGAGAATTAAACATTTAAGCTGAGTTTCAGAGTCCAGAGTTTGGGAGGGAGGTCTCCAGCTTCTCAGTCTCCCCTCAAATCTTCCACCCAGTGCTGGGGTACGGACACCAGCAGAACACCCTTCCTCGGCCCAGAAGTAGCAACTTTCACCCTCTGAGAGCAGGGGCCTTCTCTCTGGGGGAGTGCTTGTGCCGCCACTCTCTGCAATCCTGGAAAAGCAAAACCAGTCTTTCCTGCCTCCTGGTTTCCCATCCTTGCCCATTTCTGGCTTGTGTCCAGATGCAAACACACATGTTATTCAGAGTTGGGGCACCTTCTTGTGCCAGGCACTGGGCTCAGTGCTGGGGATGCAAGGATGAATGAGTCACCATCCCTGCCCTCAAGGAGCTTCTGGCTCTGTGCACACAGGGACACCAGGAGGCAGCCTGCAGATGGGGGCATTTCCATAAGAATGGAGGGACGGTTTCATGAAAGCTGCTTTTTCTGTATGTAGAACACTTTTTCTTACATCAGCATAGCTCTGCCATTAAGGTGTGACCTGGGTTAGGGTGCTTGTCCTCTTTGGGCTTCTTTTTTCTCATTAATGAAACTAAGGTGTTAGAGTCAACTAGAGGATTTGGGGGTAGGGGGATATGAATCAGGCCAGGTCATGCCCTGAGATTCCAAGGGGCACCCCTGAAAGTCGCTTGTCTTAGGCTCCTTGGCCCAAGCCAGGGTAAAACCTCCAGGTTAGAGGAATTCCCAGATGAAGGAGTGAGAAGGCAGGTTTATTGTTTGGGATATAAAGTCAGAAGTGCCCACAGGGTTGAACCAGCTGGCATTCAGAGTTGGGGATGGGGCTTGGGAGGAGTGGTTTAAAACACAGAGTGGGTTCTTCCACCAGGGCATGCAAAGGGCAGAAAGATTAGAACCCTAGACCTTCACACAGTGCTTACCACGCACCAGGCACTGCTGAGAGGTAACAACTAGGAGATGTAACTACATAGCTACAACTACTTATAAGGTAGGTAGTGTTAGTATTTCCATTTCACATATGGGGCATAGAGAGATTAAGTAGCTTGCCCATCAGCTAGTGAGTCACAGAGCCAAGCTTTGAAGCCAGGGAGCCTACCTCCCTTCGAGTGAGGATGAGAAGCCCCACGCTACCCTCACCCCAACCCATCACCCCGGAGTATCCTGAATGTCCTGAGGGAACACGTATGACACCTCACTTTTCTGGGGTCAGCCATCTAACCACCTCCTTTCTACTAAGCAGTCCTGTAAAAAAACTACGATGTGACATAACTCCTACAGTAAAGTTGACATTTAATTTTCATTTAGACAGCATTTTAGCAAATGGTGCTGTCAGGCTTCCCAGCCCAAGACTGTTGGAAGTTCTAATAGAAGGAGGGTGCTAAGAAGAGATAGGGAGCTTCTAAAGGCAGCCTTGGGGACTGCAGTGAGAAGTAGCTGCCCTTGGACTGCCAGCGAGGGAGGAAAAGGCACAAAACAGCAGCTAAAATACTGCCTGCTTATCACAGGCCAGTAAAGGGTATTCATTCGTACTGAGTCCTGAGCTGCAGCCCCAGGGTTGCTCAGAAGGGCAGGAAGCCTGAGCAGGGGCTGAGGGACCAGCCATAGCTGGGAGCAAAGTGGGAGGTGGAAGGGGGACCTCAGGGCTAGGGCAGCTGCCCCATGGTGGTGCAGGTTTTCTAAGGCCAAGTCAGAAGGGAGTGGGGCAGACCTGGGGGAGGGAGAGGGGCCCAGGCAGGGCAGCTGTGGGGAGTACAGTTGGGCTTTGGTTCCACGAAGCAAGGTCCTGGGTGGGGTGGGATCAGGGTTGGAGTCAGTGACTCTCCTTCCTAGCTGGTTTTCTGCTTCCCCACTGCCCTACCCGTCTGGCGGCTTGTGCTAAGAGGGGAGTTTCTCTAAGCAATCTTTGCCAGGAAACTAAAACAGGAAGGAAGCAAAGGCAGGAAGAGTAGGCAAAAACATGCCTGTGGCCAGGTCCACAGCCAGCGGGCAGAACACACCCAGCCTGGCCCCGCCCAGCTCAGAGATTGGCCTCTGAGCCCCTTGTTCTGCCACCGCTTACCAGACACACTGGGCCCCAGCAGCAGGCCAGATTCTCAGACTCCTAGCACTCCAGTTCTATGGCTGGAGAGTGCACCAAGCGTCTTGTCCTGACCTCAGTGAGTCCTGTGACTCTGGCTTGGAGTATGCTTTTGGGGAGGGTCGGGTCCAGGCTTGAGTCTGACCTATATAGGGCTGGGCTGTGGCTTTGGGCCTGGCCCTCCTTTGCTTGAGTCCAGCTCATTTTAGGACCTGAGACCTGAATTGGTTCAGCCTCGCCATAATTTCCTCACCCAGCTTGGTGAGTTGGGCTTCACCATGCTGGTCAGTGATCCCATTGCCACATCTAGGGCTGTGAGCCTCTGTGAGCCTCCACCCCGAGAGTGGCCGGGAAGGGGTCACCCTATAGGCAGAAGAGGAGATGCATCCTAATGAAGAGAGTAGCCAGCTGAGCCTGAGCCTGTGGAGTCTTGGGGGCTCCTCAGGGACTGAGTGTGAGGGTGTATTATGTGTCTAGGGCCATGCATGTGTGAGAGATGAGGGTGTGTGTGAGGAAGTTTCCTAGATTGAGCTTTAGGGACAGGGGCTGTGTGCTATTCAGGTTTGTGTTGCAGTACACAGGACAGTGCCTGGCCCTGACAGGCAGCTGTACTCTAAAACTGGGAGAAGAGTAGGCAGAGTGGGAAGGAGTGAATGCCCATGAGGGGCTCAGGGCTGGAATGGAGGGGGAAAGAGGAGAGTCCCAGGGAGTCCTTGAGTTGCAGTTGCCACAGCTCCCATCTGATGGCAATACCCTCCATAGTTCCTTAGGCCTCTTCTCCCATGCCAATGGGACCTGCCCATTGGCCATTCTGGCTGGGTCTAAGGGCTTTTGGGAGGAGTTGGAAGTGGCATTTCAGGACTTGGTGGGCATGGGACGGTCCCTGATCTGGGGGAAGGAGATCCAATGCTGGAAGAACAAAGAACCCAGCCCTCGTGGGCAGGCAGGCTTGGGTCTGCAGAGGAGGAATCTGGGGTGCGTCTGTGAAGGTTGAGCTGGAGGCCAGGCTTGGGCTCGGCTACTTTGCCCCTCATCCACAGTGACATTTTAAGATCCCAGGCCTCCCTTCCTCCCTCCCTGAAGGAAATCATAAAGGTGAGAGTGATTCAGTCCGCTGTATGTAGAAGCCTGTGGCCTTGAAAGCCTGCAGATCAACCTGGCGCACAGGCCTTGGCCCAGGCCTGAGTGCCACAGGGGAGCAGGGCATCCAGTGCAAGCTCAAGATAACTATGGGAAGGCGTGGAGCTAGGGACCCCAAATCCCAGGTGTGGCAGAGGACTATGAAGTGGTGAGGGGGTGGAGAAGTCAACTGAAAGTTGAATCATCTGATGATTCCCGATAGGGAAGAAAGCTCATTCTCAACCACTTAGGGCTCCACCAGGAAAGAAAGCAGAAGGTTGGGGCCTTGCAGTGGGCCAGGCTGGAAAGCTGTTCATGGAGGGGTGTGGGGTGAGGGGGTGGGAAAAGAGGACGGTGTGGGGAGCAGGGGAAGTCAGCAGAGCAAGAGTGGGAGCAGCAGAGGCTGGAGGTGCTCACCTCTGTGCCCCCTGCAGGGGACCCTCCAGCCTTGCACGTGGCCCCCTGCAGGGCATCCTCCAGCCCCCCCATGTGGCCCTTTTATGGGTCAGGGCTGCAGAACCTTTGAAGGGCTTCATGTGCCTAGATGCAGCCTCAGTTTGTCTACACAGGCCACTTGGGAGCAAGGCAAAGAGTGTGAGCAAAGAAAGAGGGGAAGGCAATTGCAAGATGAACTTAGTAGTGCCAAGGCATGTTTCCAGAATTCCAAGAACATTGATGAATTTTACCCCAAATCTCAAAATGAGCCCTGCTCAGGTTCTGAGGAAAGTAGTTTGAGGTGGAGCTGAAGCAGGGGCGGGCCATAACCTCCACAGTGGGTGCCCTTGTAGCCTTCTCTAGGATGGTGGCCAGGGTGGGTCCACAGGGTGGGAGGGCCGAGCTGCTGCCAGCCTGGGTGGTACTACGGCAGCAAAGCATTTTGTAGATGGACCCCGTGGACACAGCAGTTACTGTAGCAAGCCTCTGACCTACCCAGCTGAGCAGGGCCACCCTGACAGACATCCCCTGCTGGCCCACAGGCTGCAGTCACAGAAGGCTGAGGAGGGGGGGAGCGCCACCCCTAGGGGAGAGAAAGAATCAAGGGTGATGAAAACCAGAGCGCCTGCTCCCTGAGATTGCTTGCCGGCCAAGGTGGTTTGAGGGGCTGTTTTATTTTTTTCTGGCCCCCTTGCCAAACCGCCCATGCCCCCCTCCCCAACGCATGATGGATGCCCTTAGTGGCCCTGTGTGAGGTTCTGCTTCTGTTCACAGTGTATCATGTGTCTGCATAAACAACCGTGTGTGTGTATGTGTGTATGTGTGTGCGTGTGTGTGTGTGCGTGTGTGTGTGTTGATGTGCCCATGTTTGTCTGCTGGCTTACTCCATCCTTTGAGTTCTTTTCAGTTCTCTTATGATTTGACTGCTGTTCTCTCATCAGAGCTTCTAGATTGATGCTGTGGTCTGGTGCTGTATAAATATATTTTCTTTTTAATTTTGTTTTAACTTCTTCCTTGCCCTCCTTCACCTGAATCCCAGCCCTCCCTGCCCTCCCACACTCCCCAACCCCACCTGCCCTGCCCCACCTCTTCCTTCCCCCACCCACACTCTCTTGTCCTCTCTCTCTCTCTCTCTACATATATAAATATATATATAAATCTTTTCTTCTTTTGTCATTCAATCAAATTCCAACAACCCAACCAGGGCCAGTCAAATCCACCACAGTCTCGCGCTGAGCTAGGAATAAAGTTCACGTAATCACATGAGAGTGGAGAAAAGTCCCCCATCCGTAAGTTCAAATCAACTCAAAGTTCACAGTGTGACATGATGGCGTCATGTAACAAGGCTAAGAATCGGTTGCATGACAATTGCCGTCAAGTTTCGTGGAGGTGCTGTGATTGGAGCGTTTTTCTTGGATGTTGTATCAGTTGATGATTGGCCAGTCATGATCACACGTGCATTTTCTTGACTTTTGTGCTGCCACAATCTTTTTTGCTGTGCTCATTTTCGTTTTGTTCTTGGTGCTTGCAGTGGTTTTACTTTCTGTTGTTTGGTTTTTCTTGTTCAGCGTTTTTTTATGCTTCTCTAGATGTCACATAGAGAAAAAAACAAAACAAAAGAACAAAAAATAGTCAAAATAAAGATGAATTCCTGAATTATCAAACATGGGATCATTTACCTGTGCAAACCATTATTTTTTTCTTAAAAATAAGGAAAACATCTTAAAAATATCTATGCGTGGTTGATTTACTTGCACTTGAAAATATTGTGATTTTATTTTTTTCTAGAAATTTGGGGGCCTTTTTCAATTGACACTATCCTAGGTCTGGTCTTTCCAGTTAGGCTATTTTCAATCTCACTTCAAAGGGAAAAAAAAAAAAACCAAAAAACAAAAAACAAAAACAAAATATCTACAGTAACAGAATGATAAAAACAAAATTCTAAACCAAAAAACTAGAGTACAAAGCCAGAGGCCTCTGCAAGAGAGCCCGGTAACAATTGTAAGGTTTGTATTGTAACCACTTCTGCTAAATTAAATGTGGGGAGGGGAGGCTGGGGACTGGGGGCTCGGGAGGGTTTTTTTGGTTGGTTTGGAAGAAACAGTACTAACAAAAGCAAAATGCACCTTTTTGTTTACAACTGAAAAAGGGTCCTTGACAAGTGTTTTTTAATTTTATTATTATTTTATTTGGTGTTGTAATTGTTTAGACTGCTGTGTACGGTTTGCTGTTTGTTGAATCAACAGTGTGAAAAACCTGCCAGCATGGATTGATATACGCATGACGTTGTCCCCTCAAGTGGGGGCTTTGCAGTTCTAACTTTCTTGATGTAACCAGTCACCCCCATGTATAAGTGGAAGCTGCTTGCTAGAATGGAGATGAGTCTCATTTGTTAATTCACAATGATTAAGCATTCGCCTTCTGATTCTAGTCAGATCATGATTTTTTTAAAGCAAAACAAAACACCAAAAAGCCACCATTCAAAACAAAATCAAACACTGTCTGAGTTAATTTATTTAAGTTTGATAATTAAATCTCTTCTGACCTTTTTTTAGGTTTTCCCATCCACTCCCTTGAAGTTCTGAATTTCCTCTAAATTCCCTGGCATGTATGAGAAAAGTATTATGTGTGTGTATGTGTGTATATATGCATATACATACACACATATCCATGTATATCCACATATGTGCAGGTGAATATATTCTACACATATATCCAGATATACATATATATACACAGCCTCGCAAATAGTTACTGACCCCGGGAAAGAAGTGGTTGGCTGGAAGCTGGGCAAGGATTCTACAAAATTTGAGTCACGGATGTGTCTTCCTTCTTTCCCTTGAGCTGGGAGGAGTGGGCTGGGCTGCTAGATTTTTGCTATCTTGTTTGCTAGGCTTCTGTATACATATTGTATCTGGGCTAGATCTCTCAGAGACAAGTTTAATTATGAATGCATATCTCACAGTCCCAAATTCTCCCCTTAGATGTAGCTACCCCCAATCCAGAATGCTAAAGTAACCCAAATCAAGAACCTTCTCCCAACTACGAAACCTCAGCTACAACCATCACCACTAGACTTCCCAGTGGTTTCTACTCTGAATAGAAGAGTATATTTCTTTTTAATGTATCATGATCATGACTAATTCTCATACTGGTCTCTCTTCCTTCCCTCCCACCATCCCCTAGAGCTCCCATCCTAACCCCTGAGGCAGGTTCCTATTGGTGTTTGGATGCTGTTTGTGTTTTCCCTCTTGGCTTAATCAGCCCTGATTTTCTTCATTTTAGGGCAGGATGCTGAACGGGCTACATTAAAAAACAAACCTCTCTCTATATATATTTATAAATGAGAACTGTTGGATGACACCTTTGACATATCAGCCAATATCAATGAAGCTGAAGACTCCAGACACTGTCTGTGTGACTGTAACATTTCTTCAAGGAAAGTATAGCGTCTATGGAGTTCAGAGGGCACGTGTTTGGGGGAAAATATATATATGACATAAGAAGAAGATGAAGAAAAATGAGAAAAAAAAACACACACAAAAGGCAACTTTAAAACAAAATATCACGAGACCAGACGGGGAGGCTGAAGGGCTGGGAACTGGGAGGAGACGCTGCTTACCGATCCCGGGGCTTTTCCAGCCCATGGGCGCCTGAGGCAGGCTGGGGCAAGTGGTGTGTGGGGCCTGGTCCCCAGGGGGCGGCTGGGAGGCCGCCACTGAGCATCTCTATCTGTCATTCCTTTAGCTATTTAGGGACCAAAGGACCAAACTTTTTATTGCAGATGTGTAGCTCTATGTCAAATAGAGGGGGAATGGAGGACCCCCTCCTTCCTGCCTCATGGCTGTTCTTGAAACAGCTTAGAGCGATTCTATGAAAAAATGTAATAAAAAATTAAAAAAAAAAACAAAAAACAACAAAAAAACAACCAAAAAAAAAAAGGAAATATAACGCTTCAGTGCTTTTAAAACAGCAAGATAATAGTTCTTTGATACTTTGAGAGGCGCTTTGATGACCCTCATCCAAGTCTATGACACTTTCCTATGGTTTTCTGTATTCTATGTCTGGATGGAGCTGTTAAGATGAACAAATTGGTGGATATTTGGGGAAAGCAACACAAATCTTAAAACTCATTAACCGTGGAGTGTGAGAAAACAAAGAGGGGACAAATGGGACTTACCAAGCAAGGTCATTGTTGTGAAAAGTCTGTAAATGCTTCTAACTCTTCCCCCTCTTAAAATCCTAATAGTTGTACAGAATTTTAAAAAGGAAAAGTTTAAAATACCTATATAATAGAAGAAAAATTAGAGGAAAGCAAAAAATAAAAAAAAAAAAAAGAAAAAAAAACCTATAGAAGTTAGCATTACTGCTAAAATCCCAGATGTTGTAGGACTGTACTTTTGTAGAGTTTAGACAGAGCATCAACCCCTTCTCCCCGCGAGTGCTGTCGGACGCCGTTGTCCCCAAGGGCCAGGCCGAACTTGCCCCACACCTGCGGGCACCTGGCTGCCTGTCGCCGGTGGAGGCCACGCCATCGGCCGGGAACGGTCGCGTTGCCCGGGTCGTCGCCGCCGCCGTCCTCGCCTCTTGCTTCCCTCCGGGAGCTGCGCGCGCTTCACTCACCTTCCGCTTCACTCGCCTTCCACGCTTGCTCCAGAGACTTTCCGGGCAAGGGAGAACTGGGAACTTTCATCTTAAAACGACTAGACAACACACACACACACAAAACCTTAAAAAAGAGAGAGAAAAATAAACAATCTTTGAAGAATTTCTGAAACTGTTTACAAGGAATTTTGAAAAACAGGGATGTTTAAATGATGCCGGCTCTGTTTTTCTGTAAATAAATTTGCATATTTTGTAGGACTTTTAATTGTAATGATAGAGAAAAAAACAAGGAAAACTATTTAATGAAAGCACGATATTTATCTTTGGTAAATGACTTTAGAGCAGTTAAAGACATTGCTTAAAAAACTCAGAATCAGAAAAACACTGAATTATTTAAGAACACATATATTTTAAAGTATAACATATTTATTATAATTTATTTGCACCCTTGGGAAGATTGCTTTGGCATTCTGCCTCAATTCCTTCACATTGATGTCCAGGTCATCTGGAGGCCGGGGGTTCTCAGACCTACCATTGTTTCCCTTTAGAAGAACAAATTTCCAGTTCCTCTGGGGCCTCCTGCCTTTCCTTTCTTTCTGTCAATTTTGTTGTTGTTGTTGTTTTTCATTTTCTTTTTTTCTCTTGACTCCTCCTTTTAGGATGTCCAGATGTAAAAAAAAACAAAAAACAAAAAAGAAAAAAAAAAGAAAAAAAAAGAAAACAGCTGCAGTTCAGTACAACTGCTCTTTTCACACTCAACTCCCTAAAACTCCTTGTAACCTTCTGTAACTATTGGATGACGCTTTCTCCAGCTTAGCCCTAAATAAAGCACAGTTTAAAAAAAAAGATTTCTTCATTGGTCTGTGCCTCTCGGACTCTGGCCAGCTGTGCCTCACAGCCCCAAGGCTTGCCCGCTGGGAGTACCTTTGGTCTTCTTTATGGAATCTGCAACACAGGCCCTCGTTCTGAGTTTCAGCATGTGAAGCTCTTTCTGGGAGGTGATGGGAACAATAAAAGGAGGTCCTGTTCCACTCTAGGAAGAATCTCTCTGGACTGGTGTCTCTGAAAGTCCCCATTGCAAATTCATTCTTCTGGGTTCCTGGAAGAGGTGGCCACAGTGTCCAAGCAGAACAGAAAGGAGGTCACCGAGGCCACCCGACCTGAAGGCCGAGCAAGTGTTGGGTTGGGGGGAAGTTATGTGACACCTTAGGGAAGGAGGCAGTGGAGGAAAGAGGCCACAATAAAGGAAGAAGGATGAGGATGCAACTCCAAATTTACCAGCAAGCATCTTGCTCTTGGCCTCACACCTCCCGCTGCTTTGGCAGTTTGCAGGGATGGAGAAAACAGGATTCTGGGCCCTCAGTCAGGGTCCTGGTGGGGGCAGGGGTATAGAAAGAAGAGCAGGGGCCCTCTGCTGGGGTGTTTCCTGGCATGCTGCCTGTCCTACACTTAGATATGAGCTGCAGAGAGGTTTCCAGACCCTGAATACCAGGGTGAGAAGGAAGAGCATTAGAGCATTCCAAAGGAGGAAGGACACCATGCAGGACTTGGAGAGGGGTGGCAGGTGTCTGGAGAGGAGAGCCCAGACAGCTGCACACCAGCTGCATGCCTTCACCCAGTCCTGGCCTGGGACAGACCTTCTTCTCAATCTTTGCTCTCCCACCTCCTTCCCTTCTCCTGCCCTCAGCCCCGTAGTCTGGTCTAGGAATAGGCAGACTCTTTCCCAGGGCCTCCACCTCTCCCCACTGCTGAGACAGGAGGGCTGCCAAATGAGGGGCAGGGAAGCTGCAAGGCTTCAGATGCCTGGAGGAGAGAAGATAAGCCCCCGGAAACAAGGGTCGTTGACTGCCTGTCAGTCTGTGCCCCTCTATGGGAGATGGGGAAGTCGCTTCAGTCCCCACCTGTCTCCTCTGAAGGAGGGTATAGAGAGCAGAGCTCAGAGCCCCAGCTACAGAGCAGTGCCTGGACCCCATGCTCCATCCTCTCCTCCCATCTCTCTTCTCAGGGCCAGGGGCTAAGTCTGTGCTTCTGATGCTGGCCTGTGATGCACTAGGCTGGAGAGAAAGATCTTCATGTATCAGCAAATAAGGGAAGGCCTTCAAGTCTTGACCTAAATGTGGACACGGTTCCAAGAGAGAAGGACTGAGGAGACCCTGAATGTCCCCTAAACTAACCCCCCTTTGCTGCTCAACAGGGCTGCAAGTCCAAGTGACAGCCTGCTCTGTCCATTCTAGAGAGCTGCACTTCTTGGAAGAATTAGCTTAAAGGGGCTAGATGTCACACTGGGTATTATTCTGCCCTGAGAAGAATGGAAGGTGTGTTCTAAGAAATTCTCTGGGGAGTGGGGAGGTGTCTTTAGGTTTCGAGCCTCAGACTAGTCAACACGGTGATTTCTGTTGCATACCTGCAGCTGAAAGAGGACAACCTCAACCCCCAGCACCCCCTCTGACTCTTTCAGACCCCATGAAGCCTCCCGGAGATCCCCAAGTGACCTTCCTAGACCTCTCCTGTTTGTGTCCACCTCCCCACTGCATACCATTGTCTCTGGGACATAGTCCTCCCCTACCTCCACTGAAGGTGTTGTGGCTAAAGACTGTAGGCACCCTGGGAGCTGTCACCAGAGATGGGCTGTGAAACCAGCAGGCAATTTTGCTGTCTTCTGGGTATGGCTCACTGAGAGGGGGGCTGAAAACACTGGAACCAGAGATGAACATTCCAGTTCTGTAAAAGAAACCTTCAATGTAAAAACCGTGCACCAGGTTTCTGATACATGCATAGCACACTTAAGAGAGAATACAATTTATTAACCTCTGGGGGAAAGAGATCCTTGAAAACTTGCTGAAAACTATTAGATCACTTTGCACATGATTATGCAGAGCTCAGGGATCCCTGAAGGAGAATATGGAGAGCAGAGCTCTGGTTAAGAACTCCTGATTTGCAGTGTTAGTTAAGAGAACCCAAGACAAAATTCTTGTTCATTTCTGCTTCTATTCTATGGCTTATATTCCTTTGCTGTTATCCTAGCTGCAGTGTGTGGTTCCTTCATAGCACCCCTATTTGTAAAAGACCTTTTGTTTATTATTAGAAACTTTTTATTTCAAGCATAATAATCAAGAGTAGAGACACTTGCATAAAGAATCCCCATGTAGGGCCGGGCGCGGTGGCTCACGCCTGTAATCCCAGCACTTTGGGAGGCTGAGGTGGGTGGATCACGAGGTCAGGAGATCGAGACCATCCTGGCTAACATGGTGAAACCCTGTCTCTACTAAAAACTTAAAAAAATTACCGGGCGCGGTGGTGGGCGCCTGTAGTCCCAGTTAATCGGGAGGCTGAGGCAGGAGAATGGCGTGAACCCAGGAGGTGGAGCTTGCAGTGAGCTGAGATCGTGCCACTGCACGCCAGCCTGGGAGACAGAGTGAGACTCTGTCTCAAAAAAAAAAAAAAAAATCCCCATGTACTCACTACCCAGCTTCAGCATACCTCAACTCACAATTAGTTTGACAAAAATCCCAGGTATCAAGTCATTTCATTGCTAAATGCCTCCATTTCCCCTTAATGTTTTCCATGCTGCACTGATGTCTGCCAGCTGGCTCTGGCCTGTTGGGCAGCTGTAACCTTGCTGTGGCAGCCCCTGGGGAACTTGGCCTTCATAGCCTCACCAGGGCCTTATCCTGGGGTGGAACTGGCTCCTGGTGGGAGCCCCAGCCCCCTCTCCAGCACCTCCCCAGGGCAACTGCACCTGTTCCCAGCAGCACTTTCAAAGCCCTTCCAGCTCTTTCTCCACACCTTTGTAGTCACAGCTTCTCTCTCTTTTCTCTTTCTTCTCCTCCTTCTATCTTCCTATCTGTGATGCTAGTATGAAAAAGTTATGTTTATTGAGACCTTTCATTTAACGTTCCCATCTCCCTCGGTGTTTTCCTAAAGATCTGACCTTTTTCCTGTTCTGAGCAGGATTACACCCCCGTCCCTCATACTAAGCACGGAGAGAAACACAAGACATACTAGAGCTTCCCCACTCATGCAAGCACTGCCAGGGCCTCCGTCCTCCAGGACTGCTGCTGCACTTCTAGGCAAAGCTGCAGATCCCCATAGCACAGGGTCTGCAGGGCTAGTGTTTGAATTACAGCGGGTAAAACACAGATGAACATTTCCCACCTTGCTTGCCCACTTGGTAAAGTGGATAAGGCACAATATGGCAGTGAGCTTAAGGGGCCCAGCGCAAAGTGACAGCATCAGACTTGGCTGTGAATGCCATTTGACTATTTACCGAAATGGAACCCACCCCCAGATCAAAATTACTAGCTACTGTTGACGTACTACCTTCAACAGACTAGTGAGTTCTGGCAGTTGGATAGTCAGTCAATATTGATTCATTTCTGCATTAATGAGTGAATAAGGAAGGAAGGAATGGACAAATTACTGATGGCTGAAGGCATGTCCCAAAGAGGCAGGTGTTCTGGAAATGCTCTTTAAGTAGTGATAGCATGTGGCATAAGTGTATAGTCAACACACCCTCCCATTCCTAGATGAATGCTTGCAAATATAAGATTTTTTATTTTAACTTTCTAGTTTCCTCCCCCTACTGACCCTCCATTTCTCTAAGCTGCCCTCCCTTCTCTCCTCAAGTCCTCCCCTTGGTTACCGCCAGTCTCTGGTCTCCAACATTCCCAGGTGTCCTGGGACTTGCTAGTGACAGAGTGAAAGCCTGGAGAGCCAGCACCAGCTCCCCAGGGCCCTCTATATCACCCTTTCTCCCTCCTCCTGCCAGCCTAACTGTTTGCCTCTTCAGGAAACTCTGAGCGTCTCCATCTCTGCTTCTGCCCTTTGTGGAGCTCTAACCAAGACTTTCCCAGACTAGGAGGGGGATGGAAAGATTAGGGTATCAGAGTGAAAAAGGCATGGACTTTGACTTCCGACCAGGATTCAAATCACAGTTCTCTCTAATACCTTCTGTGTCACTTTGGAAACATTGCTTAACCTCTCTGAGCCTCAATTTCCTTATCTCTAAAATGGGGATAATACCACCCCCAAGAGTGTTGAGGAGTGAACAAGAGACAGCCACACTCAGCTACATTCCACCCCAAGGATTATCAGAGCGGCAAATTTCTTACAGCACAGACACTCAGAACGAATGGCTCAGGCTGCGATCCCATCCTTCTTCCCTTTTCTTAATTCCATTCTATTGACAATCCACCTCCCAACAAAAGCAAACTTGAACTTGACACAAGACCACTTTAGGTCATTTTTTTGTGAAGTCCAGTCAATCTATGCCACTCCCAGAGAATTCCTGTCATGCTGAGGTGCACACACCTCTGCCTCTCACTGCTCTTTTCTGGGAACCCCAATTAGCTGACATTGCTGTGCCCCTGCTGCTCTCTTTCCCCTTTCCTTTCCCAAGAGCATTCCCAATGCAACTGTGGCTGCTGCTGTCTGCAGCCTTCCTCCTCTGGGCTCACATGGCCTCAGGCTGCATATTAATTTGGTCTTTGCATTTTAAAAATTTTTATCTATTTTTTTTGAAAAATATATTCATATATTTCAAAATTCAAAACACAGGAAAAAGGAAACAATGAAGTTCTTCCCACCCCTGAATCCAGTCATCCATTTCTCTCCCTAGCAGCAGCCAGTGTTGCCAGTTCTTGTTTACCCTGCTCTTTAAGTGTGGCCATGGAGTGTATAGGTGGAAGGAACTCAGCTGTCATCCTCATTTCCACTGAGGAGACCCAGAGCCAGACAGTGATGTGCCCAGGCTCCTGTAGCTGCCCCATGTGACTCCTAAGAGGTAAGCCCAGGCCTTGGGATGCTTGGGACCCACTGGCTGAACGGAGACATCAGGGCCGTCCAGTCACCTCTTACCATTTGGGCATCATTCATTGAGGCACGGGGGTAGCTGTCTTTTATGGGGTGCTGCTCTGTACTAGCCACTACGTTAAGAACTGCTTAGTTATAATCTCATCGAATTCTCACAATAATTCTATGATGCAGATGTTATTACCCTAATTTACAGATGCAAAAACTGAGGCTCAGAGAGGTTAAGTCCCTCACCTAAATTACCTAGAATCAGCGTTCAAGTCCAGGTCTATCTGCATGGCTGTGCCCTTGATCTCTACATCACATCTCCCTCAGTTGTAAACTCTGCACAGTCACTCCCCTCCAGCCCTTCTCTCCTGTCTCCTACTACCTTCTTTATTCTGACTTTTTTTCTCAACAACCCCAATTTCACCTTTAAGAAATGGCAGCATCTATATTGATCTAGGTACCAATCCTTTTCTTCCCTTCTCTCCTTGATAGAGCGGGAGGTCTTTTTTTTTTTTTTTTTTTTTGAGACGGAGTCTCGCTGTGTGGCCCAGGCTGGAGTGCAGTGGCCCAATCTCAGCTCACTGCAGGCTCCACCTCCCGGCTTCACGCCATTCTCCCGCCTCAGCCTCCGAGTAGCTGGGACTACAGGCGCCCGCCACCATGCCCGGCTAGTTTTTTGTATTTTTAGTAGAAACGGGGTTTCTCCGTGTTAGCCAGGATGGTCTCGATCTCCTGACCTCGTGATCCACCCACCTCGGCCTCCCAAGGTGCTGGGATTACAGGCTTGAGCCACCGCACCCGGCCAGGGAGTTCTTAAAGGTGAGTAACAAGTTAGTAAACATGTTGCTAATGGGTGTATAAGTCCCCCTCCCTGGTAGCACTTGCTGGTTATAGGGACAGACGGGAGCTTTTATTATTAACAAGGAGAGAAAATTAAATTGAAATAAATATAATATTTATTAACATTTTATGGAGCTACCTGAAGTTCAAAAGCCTTTTGAGCTGTGTCAGTCATTTCCTGCAGTACACTTAACTCCGGAGAAAATGATAAGCAAATTCTTAAGATCAGTACAAACTGGGGGTGCTCAACTGGGTTTGCACTAATCTTAAGAATTTGCTTATAAAAAAATTAAGCTTATTGGCAGGGCATGGTGGCTCACGCCTGTAATCCCAGCACTTTGGGAGGCCGAGGTGGGAGGATCACAAGGTCAGGAGATCGAGACCATCCTGGCTAACACGGTGAAACCCATCTCTACTAAAGTACAAAAAATTAGCCGGGCGTGGTGGCACATGCCAGAAAAATGCCAGCCTCCCATCCCAGCTACTCGAGAGACTGAGGCAGGAGAATTGCTTGAACCTGGGAGATGGAGGTTGCAGTGAGCAGAGATTGTGCCACTGCACTCCAGCCTGGAGACAGAGTGAGACTCCATCTCAAAAAAAAAAAAAAAAAAAAATAAATAAATAAAAAATGTTTAAAAATTAGGCTTTTTAAAATAAAGGGGAAAATTCCGCCATTTGTGAAGGCCCCATACTTCACTAATTGAGGCACAGAGATGCCTCTTGTCTTCAGGGTCTCCAACATGATTCATTGTTGCTGTTGCCACTCTGTCCTTACCTATTCCTGGGGCCCAGCTCAGGGAGCCATGGGCATTGGGATGGCAGGAAATCCAGTGGACCCAGGGGCTGTCAACCTTGTTTCCCTTCCATTTCCTGCTTTCCTCATGGAAACCAAGGAGGGGCTTCAGGAGCAGGACAACTGTGGGTCATTTTTGCCCTGCATGGGCAGGATGTGGGCTTCTGCTAAGGAGATCCCACACACGTGCCCCAGGCTTCTCATTGCACTCCAGTCCTACACAGGGTCTCAGATCCCATTGTTAGGCCTTTTTCTTTGGGTTAGACCTAGGCCTCATTAGTTCTGCTTTTAAAATGAAAACTACTTTGGCATGGGGAGTAATTTGTTCCCTAACCTGCTGAACCAATATTTGTAGTGTACCTACCGAGCACAGCACTGCACTAAGGATTAGAGGTGAAGAGATGAAGACAGCACACACTGGGCACCTTCCAGGCCCAGTGTGAGGTACGTTATGGGTATTATCTCTAATCCTGTAATTCTGCAAGGTGCTATCACCCTACCTTACAGATGAACAAACAGGCTTGGATAAGGTAGGTAACTTGCCCCAAACCACACTGTAAGAAAGTAATGGAGCCAGGATTCAAAATCAGCTGCGCTAATTTCCCCATGAGGTTCCCTGACAAGCAAAAGACAACTGCACACTAGCATGTGGGAACTGTGTTGGGGGCCCAGGACAGCCCGGAGGAGGGAAGGCAAGTGGCCCTGTCTGGGAGAGTGGAGACACCTGGGTCAGGTTTTGTAGAGTGCGTGGGTGTTCCATGGACTCCATGGGAGGGGTCATGGAGGAACAAAGGACCCCAGACCTTCTGAAGAACTGCAAGATGTCTTAGGTAGGCTGGGAATATGCTGAGGGAAGACACAAGGCCTTGTTTCAAAACAATCTACTTATCATCTAGACACTGTCCTGGCTACTTCAGGGACACCATTCCAGTTAACCTTCCCAGCAATCCTGGGCCCTATTTTACAGATGAGTTTATATGCTGTATGAAAGTCACATGAACCCCAGAACTGGGATTTGAACCCAGGTCTCCCTTATGGCAGACGCTGTGTACGTAATCTTCATATTACATTGGAAGAAGCTACCTATTCAAGGCACGTGCATAATGGCTCTTGCCTCAAAAGCCTCTTTGCTGATTGTGTTTCCAAGCCTCAAACAGAGACACACAGCCTATCCACAGGGCAGAAAAGTGGAGTCAGGCCTGTCTTGGAAAGGCTCAGACCTCTCTGGCCTCAGATCCCTCCTCTGCAAAGTGAGCAGGCAGCCTGGGTCTCAGGGATTTGGCCCCACTTCAGTGCGCCTGAAGCTCTCTGCCAAGTGCCTGAAGCTCTCAGCCAAGTGCTGAGAAAGGGCACTGGCGAAGAGAGGTCAGAGGAGATGTGTGACCGTGAGTGCCCTCATCCTTGCTCTGGGCATGAGAGTCAGCCTAGAATGAGGGAGCTTGGCACAGGGTTTTATCCTCCACTGTATTCTGCTCTTGATTCTGGGCAGAAGATAGCTCCTGCCTTGCCCTCGGTGCTGAGTGACCTTAAGAATCTCTGGGCTCAAAGCATCCCCTTTGAGAGTATTGTGTGTCTTCAGCATTGACTTCAATACCTGGCATGGGGTATGTGCCAGTGTTTGCTGAATGAATGAGAAGAGGTGGGGAGTGGAGGTGGGGATGCCTTCTACAGGCCTCTTCTGAAGCACCCTAGGCCTGGCCCACTCTTTGCAGGGCCTCTCTGTCCCATGTTGTCCCAACTCTGAACAGGGATCAAAAGAAAGCCTGGTGGTTCAGGTCTTCCCAGTACTCTGGGAGCTCCTGGGATGACAGGCATTCAGGGCAGAGTCTCACTGGGGCCCTCAAATATGGCATATGGACACAGATTCTCATGCCATTCCAGATTTCTGGTCATCCAAATTCTTCTTGTCCTTAAGTCCTAGTCTGGGGTCCACCTGCTCCAGGGGGTCTATTGGAAACTGAGCACCTGTTTTCTGACTTTCTAGTGCCCTGAGTGGGAACTACTTCACTGGGCTCTTGTTCCCATGCTGTTGTGTGGTGTTTTGTATGTAGTCATTGCCCTAGCTAATGGCCCCGAGGATCAGAAGTAAATGGTCTGTTTCCAGTCTCTCTCCTAGCAGTGGACTGGTGGTCAAAAAGAGTAGGCAGGGGCAAAGTAGAAGACTAAGGATTTAAATGCACTGTGCTGAAACATCAATGGGTGATAAAAACAAGTGGGTAAAAAAAGGTATGAGTAACAATATTTACATAGCCTCAAATTATACTCCCACAAGATACTTATACATCACAAAGGGAAAGTTAGTACTTTTATTATATAAGGAGAAGCCTGGCAGATACCACCTTAACCAGGTGATCAAAGTTAGTGTCATCTGGAATGTAACATGTAACAAATGCTATCATGGGCCTCCTGGTCGGATGTGCTCAAAAGGAGACTGTATCACTTATTCTTGCTGAGAATGCATAACCGGAATCTAATCATAAGGAAACAAGACAAACCCAAAATGTTCTATGAAGTAAATGGCTTGTGCTCATTTAAAGAGACAAGACAACTAAATGCAACTTGTGATCCTGGGCCAGAACTTCTTTTTTTTTTTTTATTTTTGTTTTTGGTTACAAAGGATATTAGTTCAACAACTGGCAACATTTAAATAAGATCAGGTACTGTGTCAGCATTAATTTCTTAATTTTGATACCTGTACTGTGGTTATAAAAGAGGCTGTCCTTGTTTAGGAAATATATGCTTAACTTTTTGGGGAAATAAGGGTATTAGGTCAGCAATTTACTCTCAAATGTTTCCAGAAAAAAGTAATAATACAGTATGTATATGTGTGTGAGAGAGTGTATGATAAAGCAAACAAGTTAAATGTTAACACTTGGGGAATATGAGTAAAGGGTATACAATAATTCTTTGTATTATTTCTAAAACGTCTCTGTAAGTCTGACTTCAAAATAAAATGTATGAAAAAAAAAAAGGCTGGTGTGAACATTAGCTGGGTCAGCCTGGGGAGAGTGGTCAGTCATGTGGACCAGGCATTGCAGAGACCAGTCCCCACCCGCTTCCTTCCTTAGACAATGTGCTGGGTTGCACATGAAAGGAGAAACCCCCAAACACAGACATGGGAAGCTTGCAACCTCAGCAGTCCCAGCAGCATGATCAGGCCACCACGGTTTCTCCTCCAGCCCAGCAAAAAACACTAGCCATGGCTCAGAAACAACTGGGGATGCCCTTCCCACCCCATCCCCAGAAGCAGCCTGACTGGCCAAACAAGAAAATAATATCACTAGTTGTTCAGTTCTGAAGAAAGGGACAGATTTAGAAATACTAGAGGTGGAGGATGGAGGCTGGTGGGGAGTATAAGAAAGAAGGGCAGAAGTTACCCATAGGCACCCCTCATGGAGGCAGATGGCCATGTGGATGACAACTGAGGTTCCAACTCTGGAACGGCTCTCAGCTCCGCCTGATGCTGACACTCCTCAAGGCTGAGATCTGGAGAGCCAGGGCCATTGAGGCAGAGGTGTCTTAAGAAGCCAGGACCTTGTATGGGGGATGAGGTTCTAGGCTGATGGGAGAAACAGAGGTAAATGACATTCTCAAACTGGGGCAAGTGTGGCAGTGGGGTGCCCTGCTGGAGGCACTGCCTGAGGTGGTGACAAGTGCAGGAGGCAGCAATGGTTGGGAGCTGGCAGGCCCAGCTTCCCAGCTCTGCCTGGCTATCACGGAATCCCCCACTCTCCATGCTTCAGAGGGGCCCACTGCTCCTTGCCAGTCTCCAGATAAATTATAGCCACCTGATATGTATAAAGAGGTTTGCAGTTGTTTACTCAGCAGGTGCATGAGCATCCTTTCATCAGATCCCCATAGATACTGTGCCAGGCAAGGCAAGCATGCATACATGTGCTATCTATGTTTTGTAGACAGAGGCACTGAGTGGTGATGGGACTTGTGCAATGTCACACAGCTACAGGGAAAGAACTTAAACCTAAGCCTCTGACAGAACACTAAGTAAACTGTTGCCAAGGATTGCAGTCTATGCAGGTCTCATGGGCCTATGCAAGCATGAGCCTTGCTGCTCCTCCAAGTTTAAACACCAAGCCTAGCATTCAAGGCTGTCCATGAGCTTACTACCTTGGGGTTCTTTTCTCCATGGCTTTGAACACAGTGCTCCTCTGCTTGGGAAAATTCTGATGGAAGACCCTGACCCAGAGGTTACTGTTCAGGGCTCTGTGACTGCACTGACCTCAGGGAACTCTTAATTGCAGCTCAACTTGACCTTCTGCCTCACTGCCCTGTCCTCTGTTGGAAGTCTGGAGCTATGTTGCTGAACTTTGGCTAGCACATAGTGGACAGTCAGAAAATGCTTCAGAATTCACCTAAGACCAGTGATTCCTGAATTTTTTTTTGGATCACAGATCCCTTTGAAAATCTGGTGGAAGCTATGAATCTTCAGATCCAGGTGAGCTCTCAGGTGAAGACTGAGGTGAGGAGAGGGTGCTATATGCAGCGCAGCTCTCTGCCCAGACTGATGTTCCTGGCAGGGCTTTGATACCATGTGGAAAGACAGCTTCTCTTTCCAACAGAGCCCCACTCCCACACCTGCCCCTGGACAGGACAGCGTAGAGGGCCACTAGGATGCCCCATTTCTGTGCACAAAGGCTGTCCCTAAGCTCAGGTGGGAGACTGAGAGGATGCAACCACTCAATGCCTGTTCCTTCCACCTGGCTAAGAAGCAAGCAGAGAGGCAGGGAGAAGTTCTGTTTGTGATCACTGCTCCCAAGTCCTTTCTCAGACTCATCGCTGCTCAACTGCTTTTTTTTTTCCCTCCAACACAGTAAATCTCATTCTATTATTCTCCAACTTGTAGTAAGCTGTGTCATTTTGAGAAGAAATACATAATGGTATATTAGAAGAACCATGGATCTTCTCATTCATGCTTAGAAAAAATTTATTACAATGTAAGAAAGTCTGAATAGCATGAATTTATTATAATGATTTAACACTTCTAGCACTTGAGTTAAAAATGCCCTTCCATAAATAACGGTCCCTGGAAAACATAGCAAATTTACACAGTTTACCATTTCCCAATGTTATATAAATCCAACAAGCTTAAATCACCTGCAGCTGAGAGGAGAACACAGGAAACTGGAGCTGTGAAGTTCATCCCATCCCAATGGACAGCAGTGAGGAGTGAGAGTCAGTCTCCCTTCCTCCGGCTCCCTCATCTCAGCACGGGACTGGCCAATCTCAGCACTTAAAGAATGGGGAGAAGAACAGGGTGGGGCAGCACCTGGAAGAATCAAAGAGGGCAAACACCAATCTTACAGGTGCAGAACAGGTGAAGGGCACGGGCCTAGGGCATCCTGGCAGAAGTCAGGCCATGGGCCATTGTTTGTGTGCTGGTGCCAAGGAGGTGTCAGTTAAGGCTGCTTGGCTGTGGCCTGCAAGGAAGAAGGGAGGAAGAGGCCAGCTCTGATGTCCTGGTTAGATCTCGAACAGGGCGTGTCCTCTGGCCAACCACCTCTTCTACTTCCTTACAAACACCAACACTGCTTCCTACTCCTGGGCCTTCTGGTTCCTCCGTGTTCCAAGGACCTCCCTCTTGGTACTCCCTCTGGCTCCATTGGACACCCGGCCTTGCCCTACTTTCATGGACACTGTGGCCTCATCATTCTTGTTTCCATCTGGGCTAGTTTCCAAGTCTACATCAGCATTCCAGGCACCAAACCTGTAAGGTAGAAATGGTTACTTCTCATCTTAACAAATATTTTTATGCATTATTATACACAAGGCTTAGAGAATATAGGCAACTTGCCGAAATCTACACAGCTCACAAGTGGTAAGGTCGGGTTCTCCAAAGTGAATATATGTTCTCTTTGAACACTTTACATTCTAACAGGGCAGACAAACAGTGCACACAGCAATATGGGACAGATTGAGGTGGGCTATAACAAAGGCTCTACAGAGTTCTATGGGAGCCAAGAGTATATACTGATGCCGGAGAGATTAGGAAACTTCCATGGAAGTGATGATAACTGAGCTAGGTCTGGAAAGATTCACCCGAGAGAGAGGGACCTGGAAAAGTCACATAGGCGGGAAACAGCAGTGTGTCCTTGGGAGACGGCCAAGGGCTGTGAACTGCAGAGGGGAGAAGGGAGGGCAAGAGGCTGAGAGTTCCGGCGTGCCACTCTAAGGGGTACACTCGTTTCCTGTAAGCAGTGGGGGACTTGTGGATTTTTAAGCAGTGAAGATACAAATCTTAGATTTGTAAGAAAGAAAATGCTAGTGAATGTGGAGATGGGACTGAAGAGGGCGCAATGGAGGTATCTCCCAGCCCCACCCTCCCCAGTCCTCTGAGTATGGCCCCTACTTTCTACTTTCTTTAGAGAGCTGCAAGAAGGCAGGCAGGAGTAGTCCAAAGGGTACCGGACTTTGGGGTCACAGAATTGTTATATTTTCTTCCTCCCTCCTATGTGCCTACCCATCCACCTATTCGATAAATAATGTTTGGGAGCCTATAACGTGCCAGGAGCCATGCTGAAATCTGAGGAATTAGTGATGAGTAAGACTGATCTTTTTCTGGCCACCCTGGGGCCTACAGACTGAAGGAGATATCACAAAAGTAAACAGGCCATTCCAGCACAGTAAGAATTGTGATAAAACATGTACAGAGGGCTGAGAAAGCTCCTAAGGTCAGGACAAGGATATTACAGTGCCTTTAGGAACTACCGGAAGCTCAGGGTGACTGAAGCATGGAAGTCAAGAGGAATAGAGTAGGAAAAGAAGGGGCTGGAGGTCTAAAGGCTGCAGTGGGCCATATCACCAACAGCCTTGTGCAGAAGTACAAACACAGAGGGCAGTGGGAAACTAACTAATGCTTTAGGCCAGGGTGTGACATGATATGGGTAGCTTTATGGAGAATAATAGGTTACCCTTACTGAGTGCTTATTATATCCTATGCTGAACACTCTACCTGCGTTAGCTCATTTAACCTTCACAATAACTTTATGAGGTAGGTTCTGTTGTGATCCCCATTTAAAGATGAGTGAGGCAAAGAGAGTCAAATGTTCTAGGATGAATCCAGGCCATCCGGCAGGAAGACCAATAAAGAAACTGTTGTACTAGAGAAGCATCAGCAAAGATAAGAGAGAAGTGGGTAAGTTTAAAAACAGGAAGTGAACTTGATACTTTTTTTTTTTTTTTTTGAGATGGAGTCTTGCTCTGTCACCCAGGCTGGAGTGCAGTGGCACGATCTTGGCTCACTGCAACCTCTGCCTCCTGGGTTCAAGTGATTCTCCTGCCTCAGCCTCCTGAGTAGACAGGACTACAGGCACGTGCCACCATACCCAGGTTTTTGCATTTTTACAAATACAAAATACAGAGATGGGGTTTCACCGTGTTAGCCAGGATGGTCTCGATCTCCTGACCTCATGATCTGGCCGCCTCAGCCTCCCAAAAGTCTGGGATTACAAGTGTAAGCCACCGCGCTCGGACGGACTTGATACTTCTTAAACATTGACTAGAAATAGGAAAGAGAGGGGAAGAAGTAAAAAATGACCCTCCCACCCCAGTTTCTAAGTTTGAATTCTATTTCTAGTTGGTGACCTTGGCAAGTTTTGCTAAACTTCATATTCATTATTGGTGCAAAAGATCACCCTCAAGTTTTAGGTGTGCATAGATGTATACCTGGCCTCATTACATAAAGGATATGATGTAGCTTACAAGAATAACCCATATAATGGGATGATTTTGAAAACTATGAAAAAAGGCTTCGTCTCATAAGGACTGAATAAGATGTTGCACAGGGCCCAGCTGAGGATCTGGCGCACAGTTAAGTGCTTCAGGAGTTTTCGATGCCTGCCTGGCACCCACCGGTCTCCACTCTATATGCTCAAATTTCTGGATTCCTCTCCTCCTCCCACAGGGTCTGGGTGTTCATCCTTCTTTCCTAACTCTATCAGTTCCAGGTCATTACCCCACAAAGACATACAGGCATACCTCAGAGATATTGTGGGGCTAGTTCCAGATTGCCACTATAAAGCATATATCACAACAAAGGGAGTCACACATATTTTTTGTTTCCCAGTGCATATAAAAATTATGTTCACGCAACTGTAGTCCACTGTAGTGTGCAACTGAATTGTGACTAAAAACAATAAACACATATTAACTTAAAATACTTTATTGCTAAGGATCATCTGAGCTTTCAGTGGGTTGTAATCTTTTTTTTTTTCTGAGATGGAATCTTGCTCTGTCTCCCAGGCTGGAGTGCAATGGTACAATCTCAGCTCACTGCAACTTCCGCCTCCCGGGTTCAAGAGATTCTCCTGCCTCAGCCTCCTGAGTAGCTGGGATTACAGGTGCCTGCCACCACACCCAGCTGATTTTTGTATTTTTTAGTAGAGACGGGGTTTCGCCATGTTGGCCAGGCTGGTCTTGAACTCCTGACCTCAGGTGATCCACCCGCCTTGGCCTCTCAAAGTGCTGGGATTACAGGCATGAGCCACCATGCTGGCTGGGGGTTGTAATCTTTTTTGGCTCATGGAGGGTCTTGCCTTGATGTTGATGGCTACTGACTGATCAGCGTGGGTTGCTGATCAGTCTGGCTGTAGCAATTTCTTAAAATAAGACAACAATGAAGTTTGGCACATAATTGACCCTTCCTCTCATGAAAATTTATCTGCAGCATGTGATGCTATTGGATAGTATTTTACCCACTGTAGAACATCTTTCAAAATTGGAATCAATTCCCTCAAACCCTGACGCTGCTTTATTAAATTTATATAATATTCTAAGTCCTTTGTTGTCATTTCAATTATGTTCATAGCATCTTCACCAGAAGTAGATTCCATCTCAAGAAACCACTTTCTTTGCTCATCCAGAAGAACCAGCTCCTCATCCGTTCAAGTTTTATCATGAGATTGCAGCAATTCAGTCATATCTTTAGCTTCACTTCTAATTCTAGTTCTCTTGCTATTTCCACCACATCTGCAGTGACCTCCTTCATTAAAGTCTTGAATCCCTCAAAGTCATCCATGAGGATTAGAATCAACTTCTTCCAAACTCCTGTTAATCTTGCTATTTTGACCTCCTCCCATGAATCACAGATGTTCTTAATGGCATCTAGGATGGTGAATCCTTTCCAGAAGGTTTTCAATTTACTTGGCAGAAATCCATCAGATAAATCATTATCTATGGTAGCAATAGCCTCAAAAATGTATTTCTCAAACAATAAGATATGGAAAGTTGAAATTACTCCTTGATCCATGGACTGCAGAATGGATGCTGTGTTAGGAGGTATGAAAACAACATTCATCTTGTAAGTCTTCATCAAAGCTCTTGGGTGACCAAGTACATTGTAACAACAGTCATATTTTGAAAGAAATCTTTTAATCTGAGCAGTAGGCCTCAACAGTATACTTAAAATATTCAGTAAACCATGCTGTAAACAGATGTGCTGCTATACAAGCTTTGTTGTTCCTTTTATAGAACACGGGCAGAGTAGATTTAGCATCATTCTGAATAGCCCTCGGATTTTCAGAATGGTAAATGAGCACTGGCTTCAACTTAAAGTCACTAACTACATTAGCCCCTAACAAGAGAGTCAGTCTGTCCTTTGACGCTTTGAAGCTAGGCACTGACTTCTCCTCTCTAGTTATGGAAGTCCTCAATGGCATCTTCTTCCAACAGAAGGTTGTTTCATTTACATTGAAAATCCATTGTTTAGTGGAGCTACATTCATCAATGATCCTAAGTAGATCTTCTGGATAAATAACTTGCCATAGCTTCTACATCAGCACTTGCTGTTTCACATTATACTTTTATATTATGGAGATGGTCTCTTTCCTTAAACCTCTGCTAGCTGCAAGCTTTTCATCTACAACTTCCTCATCTCTCTCAGCCTTCACAGAATTGAAGAAAGTTAGGGCTTTCCTCTGGATTAGGCTTTGGTTTAAGGGAGTGTCCATACAAAAAAGTTTCGAATGGGCCCAGGCGTGGTGGCTCACGCCTGTAATCCCAACACTATGAGAGGCCGAGGTGGGCGGATCATCTGCGGTCGGGAGCTCGAGACCAGCCTGACCAACATGGAGAAACCCCGTCTCTACTAAAAATACAAAATTAGCTGGATGTGGTGGTACATGCCTGTAATCCCAGCTACTGGGGAGGCTGAGGCAGGAGAATTGCTTGAACCTGGGAGGTGGAGGTGTGGAGGTTGCGGTGAGCTGAGATTGCGCCATTGCACTCCAGCCTGGGCAACAAGAGCAAAACTCTGTCTCAAAAAAACAAAAACAAAAACAAAAATAAAGTTTTGCATGGATCTTCATAGCAGCATTCTTCATAACAACAACAACAACAACAACAAAATGGGGAACAACCCAAATGTCCATCAACTGACGAATGGATAAACAAAAATGTCATATATTCATATGATACCATATTAATTTGGCAATCAAAAGGAACCATGTATATGTGACAGCATGGATGAACCTTGAAAACATTATGCTGTGAAAGAAGCCGGTCACAGAAGACCACAAAGAATATGATTTCATTAATATGATGTGTCCAGATATGCAAATGTATAGAGACAGCAAGTCAATGGTTGCCTAAGGCTGGCAGTATGGAGGGTGACTGCTAAAGGGTATGGGTTTCTCTTTGGGGTGATGAAGATTGATTTTCTAAAATTGATTGTGGTGATGGTGGCAACTCTGTGAATATACAAAGACCACT